TTCTTACCATCGTGAAGTGAGCAACTTTTCTCTACCATGTTCTCTTTGCCACGAGGTTCTTGCCTGGCAACCAGCTGACCATGGCTTGAAGTCCCTGAAATCATGAGCCAAATTCAACTTCTCCTCCGTGAAGCTGTGTGTCAGGTATTTTGTCTGGCAGCAAGAAAGCTCACTAATACACTAAAGGGCAGATCTCCTTAACATGGATCTCACATTGCCAAACAAGTTATGGCACATCAAATCCAGGGAAGACCCCAACCCTGAATGTTTAGGATTCATGCCTAACCTTCATGACCAAAAAGGAATGAAATACCATCCTCACACAGACCTGCTGAAAGTGAACCCTTGTGCTCCCATGAGAGGCATCCTGTGTTGGCTACTTTTTCTCATTGCTGAGATAAAATACTTGATGCCCAAAATTAAGGATAGAAAGGTTTATTTAGCTCACAGTCTTTGGAGGTTTCAGTCTGTAATCTGCTGCCTCCAAGGAGGGTGGCGTGGCGGAGGGGAAACTGTTCATGGTGACAGAAGACAGCAATAGCACCAAGACCAAAAAGGGGGAGCAAGACTCTTTTCTTCCCTTATATTGTACGCAGGCTACCTGCCCTAGGGTGGGGATAGCATTCACTTCATCCTATGTCCTCCTCTTGCACAGGCTGGGGATGTTTACAAAGTGAGGACCCTGGTCCCCCGCTGAGTTGCTGAGTTAAGCTCCTGAACTTCTCAGGTTGACACAGTGAATCAACCATTATGGTATCCTAGGGCAAAAGCCTAGGTCATGTCTTCTGCACCCTAGGATGCAGAGCTGCTGAGTTACTTAGTTAAGCTTCTACATTTCTCAACTTGATGCAGTGAGTCAACCATGACACAGCCATTGACTGACTGGGCACTTTACTAAAAGGAGGACTCACATATGTGTGTTTCACAGCTCAGAAACCTCTCTTAGAGACCTGAGAGCCATATAAAGAATAAGACTCCAGTGCGTAAGATGCCACAGAAGACAGAACAGTAACTCTCATGATGGCCAGGCCACACACTCAGCTGGCCTAGCCTCGCGTACACAAACCAGCCCTCTGGACGTTTTAGTTCTCTGACTGAGTCCAGGCAACTTCCCTTTGCTTGTGCCTGGATTTCTGTCTCCACAGTTGGCCACCCTGTGGACACGTTCGATTTGGCAAGATTCACGGCTTGAAAGATGAGCATAGTGTGTGGTGGGAAAAAGTGGTTTGGTAGAACCAGTGGAGACCATCTTCTCCTACTAGGATTACACTGGAAAAGTCATGACCGTGTGAGGAAATGAGTTTTTTCCCATTGCATCCTGTTTTGATGAAACTCAAAGCTACTCTCTCTTAAGCTAAAGACTGCTATTTCATACATGTTGAGGGTTACTGCTTGCTTTCAAGGAACTGTTTCTCTTTCCTTTGTTTTAGTTGCAGAAAAGGTTAAAGTCTGCTACCACACACTGAGAACATTCCTTACATAACCTAAGATAAATGTTAATTAGTCAGGATTTTCCTTGCAAGGTGTTGCATACTGGCGTCAGCTATTTCTCTTCTGTTCAATCAACTCAAATAATTACACCAAGTCTCTGAGTACCTATTATCCAAAATGAAAGAAACAACAACAACAGAAAATCATGCTTACTCCTGGCAATAGTTTGCTACTGCTGTTATAACAAAGAGCTACCAACATTAGAGCTTTGAACAAGACCCATTTATGACCACACAATCTGCAGGTCAGCTTTCTGGGACCAGCGCTTTAGCAGGTACAAATCAAGGTGTCAGACAGTTCCTTGTGCATCCAAATGTCAGAGGAGACCTATTCCCTGTGTTTGCAGGGCAGAGGGTACTTTTCCTTGCTGTGAGGGGGAGCGGCTCTTAGCAGATCTCCTTAATGTGGATCTCACATTGCCGAACAAGTTATAGTACATCAAATCCAGGGAAGACCCCGACCCCGAATGTTTAGGATTCATGCACTCAGTCTGGATTGTCTAGACTCATCATCTCGAGATGTTTACCCTCATCATACATCTTCACAGGTTCTGGGGCGTAGGGTATGGATGTCACCGGGGGCTGTGATTGTGTTTACCACATTCTCTCTCTCAACAGGGATGGAAAAGATGCCCTCTCGTCCAGCCCGAGGCCTACCCAGGGCAGAATACGGAGGACAGGCACTGTCCTCCCAGTCGGACAGCTCATCACCTATGGTACATTGCCCAGTCTCTGAATACACAGGGTCCAGCTTCTTTGTTTTTGCTTTTGCTTTAAGGGAGGCTGCCGTGATAGATGCCACCCTCGTTTGTTTATTTTCATACTTTTTCATGGAGTATCTATGTGGCGACTATCAGTATGCCCAGGCATTGGGGGTGTGTTTGTAGGGAAACCTGAGCACTCACTATCTTGGTGCTTACATTCCACTGAAGGAAAACAAACCACTAAAAACTCAGTGAGTAAAGCAGCGCAATGCATAGTCTGCAAACAGCAGTAATAAACTAGGCTGGGACACAGATGAAGATCTCAGAGTCCTGGTTGTTACAGGTGGAGAAGCCAGGGGCTCCATGACAAAGTGACAGTCCCGGAACCAAGCTAGTCCACTCGTGAGTATGCATTCAAAGGAAACGAACGCAGGATATCGAAGAGATGTGGACATTCCCACACTGCAGCACTGTCTACAGTACCAAGAGGTGGGCTACAATATCAAGGCGTCCATCAACCGATGAGTGGATGACGATATGGTACATACACACCACGGAATATGGTTCATTCATAAAAAGGTGAACTCTTGTCATTTGTGGTATTATGAATGGAAATACATTTCCACAAGTGAAACAAGCCAGGCACAGAAAGACAAGTAGTACATGATGTTATTCATTGTAGACACCAAAACCCCTGAACTCATGGGCGAGAGTAGAGGTGGGGCTCACAGAGGTTAGGATGGGTACAAAGTGGACAGAAAGAGGACAGTTATTGGACACTAAAATGTAATTAGAGAAGAATAGAAGCTTTTAATGTTTGACAGCATAGCAGGATGACTATAATTAACAATATTTTGTATTTCAAAACAGCTAAAAGAAGGGGTTTGAATATTCCCAACACAAACAATGATAAATGTTGAAGGCGATGGGTAATTTGTCCATATTTGATCATTGCACATTGGACACATATATCAAATATCACACTACGTACCAATATCGTGTGCCAATTAAAACAATCAAATAAAGGACAAAGCAGGGATAGCTAAGAGGTATTGCCTTCTTGCTTTAGATAAGAATAGACTCTTTTAATGTTTGATAGCATAGCAGGATGACTATTATTAACACACATCTCTCTGCACATAAATACCACACATCTCTCTGCAGATAAACCAGCAGAAGCACCTACCCAGCCCAATCCAACCCAACCTAAGTCTGAACTGGACATTAATATAAGAAGTTTTGTGATCATATTACAGAGAAATACATTTTTCTAAGGTAGAAAGACTATTAACATATAAGTGAGAGACAGGTGTAATAGGCACGCTGAATAGAAATATTCTCATCCATTAAGCTGCAAAGTAATTTTACTTGTCAATTCAACATTTCATTAAAGATCCCTAATTATACCACCCAGAAGATATTAAAAAAAAATCAATGTGTTTGTATTTCATTCAGGTGGAAAATTCATCTCTAACTCACACTCGAGTCATTACCATGGGCTATGTGGAATCATACTTTCTTTTCTCCCTATTAGCCAAATCTGAATTCATGAATTCTGCATTCATGCAATAGGAAGAAGAAAGATCTTCCCAGGTTTCTTAAAGGAAACACAGACTTGCCAACTCACAGTTATTCAGTGCAACACCTTAGCAAGTGTGCTGTTACTTGGAAATCAGTAGGATGAAGTATTTCCCAGAGACAATGAATGCTTGTCATGGTTTATGTCTGTGACCCCCAGGCCTCATGCATTTACACTGTGCATTTGTGATTGGTTCATTGTCTAGGGCTTGGATTGGGTGTGAGCGCTACCCTGGCCTAGGGTGGAGCCAGGATGTAATGTAAGGGCTGGAAGAAGGCGTGTCTCCCTCTCTGGCTGGTTTCTGCCTTGCTGTTTGCAGCTGCCATGAACTGCAGCCCCCCCCCCCATGCCACCCTGCCTTGGAGCCAACTGAGTATGGACTGAAACCTGTAAGAAATAAACCTTTCCTTCTCCAACTTGGTGCATCAGGTATTTTGTCTCAGCAATGAGTAAAAAGTAACTAAGACAATGCTCAACTCATCGACATTCAAATGTGCTTGGATAGAGAGGCCTGAGAACCAAATGCAAGAAGTGAAACAGAACAATAGATCAAAAAGCTAAGAGACCTGGATACCAGCATTGGTCTCTACTGGCAGGCAAGATAACTCTGGGTACCAGTGTGCATCTCATAAAGTCTGTCTACCCATTTCTTCTTTATTAAAGACAATAACAAAGGTCCAAAATAACTCCTGTCCTGCATGTTTACAGAAGGGCCACTGATGGGTGGAAAGTGCAAGTTCCTGTCCAAGTCTTACCAAGACTGCGGGGAATTAGATGTAAAAACTATTTTTTTTTTTTTTTTGAGACAGGGTCTCGCTGTGCAGTTCAGGCTGGTCTTGGGCTCACTTTGTAGCCTATGCTGGTCTTGAACTCGCAACCATCCTCCTGCCTCACCCTCCCGAGAGTACTGAGATTACAGGCGTGAACCACCACGCCCAGCTAGCTATAAAAACTTAAGGAAGCATTAGTGCTCCTAAACTCCATCCCCAAGTTGCATTGCATTACAAGCGGGAGGCCTGAACCTCAGGAGAAAAGAAACAGAGATGAAGCGGAGGACGACAGCCTCCAAGAGGAGCTCGAGAAACAAGGAATTCACTGCACTTTTATCATCTGGTGGGCCTGATCGGAGACAGCAGATGTAAAAAATTCACAGACGCTCATTATTTGTAAGAAGCGTACAAATGGGAACTCATTTGCCTTTCTCTAAGAGGACATATGCCTTTTTACCTTAATGAGGTCTTCCCTGGAGGAAAAATCTGAGACCAGGTAATTCTGCCGGGTCTTGGTGTTGGTGATAGACACGTGCAGTCGATTCTGGGCCAGCTCGTGGGCATTAGTAGGAAGAATGGACTCCATCCCGCTCCTGGAGGAGCAAAGGAGAGCCACATTACTCACCTTTAATTATTGAAGGCCTTGTAAATATCTTAGAAGGCCCAGTCCTGAGCTTGCACCGTTTGCTGGGAGAATTGTCAGCCCTGCGTCTTCATTTATATAGTTCGGGGATAAGAGCACACTGTCAACAGATACCTCAGGCGGGCCATGAAGTCATAACCTGGAGTCACTGCCCCGAGAGACTGCCTTCTGGTTTCCTCGGCCAGCTTATAGGTAAATTCATTGCATTCCTGAAAAAGAAGATTCACAACTCACCCTTTGTCTTATCAAATCAAAGGCACAGCAGTCCTATCCCGTTCCTAGACTGCACTGTGCATGGGCTCTGTTATGTTCTAGGTTCTATGTTTCTGGTCATTAGGCAAATTCTATTTTTCCCACAATTCCATTCTCTCTCTCTCTCTCTCTCTCTCTCTCTCTCTCTCTCTCATTCTCTCCCTCTGTTCCTTTCCTCTCCCTTTAAACTGATTCAAAGGGCCTTAGTCCACACAGGAAATGTCCTTTAGGGCTCCATTTAAATTCTCTGGAAGACTGCACACACAGTGAAGTTCCTCTACCAGCCTAACTGTGTGTCCTCGGAAGGTTAGGAAAGCACTGTTGCCAGAGTGCTAATGGGAAGGCACAATACCAAGCACAGATAGAGGAAGGAGCACTCGGCTTGGGTGCCACATGGTGAGATTCCAGAGTCTCTGGAGATCCGTCCTGAGCACTGGTATCCTGGGTAGCCATGGCTGGGATACGCTGAGATCCTCTGTCACTTTACTGTACTCTGACCATGCAAAGTGAGAAGCCTCTTTCCCACTTGACAGGGAAGAAAACTGAGGCTTGGAGTGACCAAGTGTGTCTGAAGTATGCTCATCAGGAATTGGGGATGAGCATATCACCAATGGGTGTAAACCCAGGGCTGTCTTTCATGGCACTGAAGTTGTCCAAAGAAGCACATGGATATTAAAGACCCTGGAGAGTGGCTGACCTTGACTGACAAAACAGCACGACTGTGGAGACTGCAGGATGAGAACCAAAATGCCCTTGGGCCATTTTCACAGTTATTTGGCTTAAGTTTTATATTAGAACTAATACTCTCCTGACTATAAACAAGCTTCTCAGAATCCACCCGTAAGATCTGCATACCTCTGGCTCCTGCCAACCCTAAAGCTAAAACTCGTTTGTGCAACATCTGAAATCTGTACAGAATATTTCCCAGCTTTGCTGCAGCCCTTAGCATTTCTAACGCCCCAGCCATGTATTTGATCAACCTATTGATTCGTGACCATCCTTGTTCTGGGGCTATAAAGGTTCACGTGCCCTCTTCCTTGGGGTAACATGACATTTATGGTTATTCGATTCCCTGTTTCTGGGCCAGGGCTGCTCAAATTTGGCTCAGAAGAAGCTGTTTTCCTTATTTCTGCAAGGGAGAGTTGTTATTTTACTTTAGTATTTGTATTCACTTATTATTTGATCGACTGGTTCAGCAAACTATTTGATGCCAGGTACTTGGCTAGTAACTAAGACCTGGTGGACCTTTCATTTTTCAATGCTGGGAAAACAAAACACACTGGCACATGCTGGCATGCTTCTTACTAGTGATCTATACTCCAAGATTCAGTCAAAACAAAACAAAACAAAACAAAAGCAAGATATAAAGAGGCCCTGATTCATGCAATGCAAGAGTACCTCCAAAAACATTATACAGTGCTATGAGAACCTTCCCAAGGGACAAATTTATGTTTTCTTATCTGTCCGTAAAGTCTCCAAGTGCTGCTATTGAACCTATGGATAACTTCTGGCCCCTCAAGAGACTTCAGAGACCCAATCAAGTTAATGACTTTCAGAAAGAGAGTGTACTAGTCAGCTTTCCTACTGCTGCATCCCACACCTTAGCGGCGAGGTTTAATATGGCTCACAGTCCTGAGGGATGCAGTCCATGGTCTGTAGGCTCTAAGGCAGGAACATCATGGCAAAGGGTGACACGGAGCAGAGCTGCTCAGTTCATGGCAGCCAGGAAGCACAGCAGAAGGGTGCCCCAGTAGAACGGAGGAGGGACATATGTAGTACCCAGGGCTACACATTCATGGTCCTCCCAATACATCGAATAACCTGCTAGAGGTTTCTCAGTGTAGCAAAGCTGACATGTCAGGATTAAGATGAACCATTCTGCATTATCCAGGGCCACCAGTGGTCCAGTGACCATGGCAAAGGCCTATTATGGGACAAGGATCTGGATGATGAACTCTGCTACAGATTTATGTCTGGGTATATAGGGTGCTTCCAGTTGGAGGAACAGAGGACTGTTAGGAGGCGGTAATTGTGGGAGGTCTCTATTCACTGGGGATATGATTTCAAAGGGGATCTGGGGACCCCTGTCCTTTTCTTTTCCTTTTTTTTTTGCTTCCTGGCCATGAGGTGAGTAGTGACCCCCCATTACATGCTCCTGACACTGCCATGTGGCATTCCCATCAGAGACTCCAGAGTTTTTCCTGTTCTTACACTGGAAATTCTAAAATCACGAGCCAACATAAATATTTTTCTCTTGGTGAGATAATTACCACAGGTATTTTGGTACTGTAATGTGAAGCTGATGGGCATATAAAGGAAAGCATGAGGGTCAGAGCATGATGAGCGTGTAAAGGAAAGGAAAGCAGGAGGGTCAGAGCTAAAGAGATCTCAAGAGGTCATGCTTCTGATTTTAGAGACGGAGGCAGGAGCCCAGGAATGCGAGCAGCCATTAGAAGCCAGAAAAGGGGCATATCAGCCTCAGGAGGGAGCTACAGCAGCCCTCTTGACACTGACTTGAGCCCAGAAAGTCTGTATCATACCTACAACCTTAGAAGGATGAGAGATTGAAGCCCTATTGTGTGAAGGCACCACACTGATAGCCACGGTTCACCTGCAACGGGAAATGAGTACAGTGAGCCTCAGCTCCAAATTAAAGGTTGTCAAAGCCTCCTTCCAATGTGACATCTAGGCTGGGGCCTTCCATGCAAACTGGAGTTGCTCAGGGATGGAGATACAGATGCATGAGAACAACACTAAACACAACAGCAAAGCAGTTCTGAGAAGGGCAGGAGGGAAGGTGGGTATTCACAGCAAGCCATGAAAAGGATGAAGCCACTTGGGGCCTTGTGAAGCTTGTTGGAAAAGCTACAGGGAGCTTAAGAATGAGATAATCAGGTTTGCATTTGGAGAAAATCACTAAGTGTGAAGTAGGCAACCTGTAGGTTCACCTGTTGCTATAGTTGATACACTGTGTCAACTTGAGAAGTTTAGAAATTTAACAGAGGGACTCAGTAGGGATCCAGGGTTCTTACTTTGTAAATGTCCCCCACCTGTGCCAAGGAGGACAAGGAGATTTTTGTGAGTGCTACACCTGTCCTAAAGGGAGCGGGGTGATGGTGGCCTGTGCACAGCATAAAGGAGGAAAAAGAGGCTTGCTCTGCCCCTCTTTTGCTCTGGCTGCTGCCTTGAAGTGTTGCCCTTGTGCCATGCCACCCTGCCTTGGAGCTAGCTGATTATGTGAAACCTCCACAGACTGTGAGCTAAATAAACCTTTCCTTCCTTCATTTTGGGCATCAGGTATTTTGTCTCAAGAAAGACAGGAAAATAACCAAGACACCTCTCAAATGTGTCTGTGTTTATCCCTTCTAAACTGGGCTCTCCACTTAGCCTGTGCACTGCTTTAGTTACATACCTGTACACCGACCACACTGTAAACTTACTAAGGAATGAACTTCTTCCCCTTTGAGTTCCCTGTTCGTTTAAACACCAGGTCTTCCTTATAGACTGTGATGGCTGGGGGAAGTTTTGCATTAAGCTCTTTACCTATCAATGTCTAAATTTGCCTCCCACCTAAAATATACCCAGCATCAGGTGCTCCTCTTAATTATACATGCGCAAGCTCTGCTCGACATTAATTAGCCATATATTTGTCACAACAGTAAAGAGCTCCAGGAACTTAACACTGTCAGTGGGAACTGAGCTAACACACATGCGGTAGGCTGAAAATAATTTACCAAAAAAAAAAAAAAAAAAAAAAAAAAAAGATAAGTCTTTCGAATGGATCATCCCAAATGCTAAATCAAAGAACTAACACTATTATTATAAGTTAGGATTACTATGTAGCCAAAAAGGGTTTGGGTCCTAGAGAAAATCAGCACAAAAGCTAAGGTACACAAAGATCGTGGCTGGAGGCCAATCTAAAGAGACCCAGGTTTGTAAGCCTCCCTAGAGATAAACAGCACCTTGCCATTCAACTGTGATTAGCACCACTTGCTCAGGGAGCCCAGCTACGCATCAGATGCATGGTGGGTGACCAGGACATCCAGACCCATCCCTTCCCGAGAATGCCTTTTTTCTTTCCACGTCCCTTGCTATATGACTCGTTTCCTTACCGGATCAATATTAGCAGAGAAGCTATATATTTGCAAAACTACTAGTTGCTTCTGTTTGGACCCATGTTGTACCTGCACTGTGATTTTGCTGTGTAAATTATCCTTGACAAAGGGTCTCTATGGCTACCCACTCTGGACCCCTCTGGGAAATCCAAGAGTGATTCTTCTCCTTATTTCCAATAAAACCCTCCTAGCTTCCTCCTGAGGTTTGCCACGTCATGCCTCAATGTTATGGAACGAGAACTCAGCACATCTGACATCTAACACGTTGGGGGAATCATTTTTCCTCTAACAAAATAACTATCAAAATATTATTTTTGTTGAAAGAAATGTTTTGAAAACAGGACAAATGAGGGTCCCCTCTGATCACTCAAAAGAATCACTTTCCATCTTCCAGTGTGAGCAGCTGATACATTTACCTTTTACCTTCTTCCCATACAATCAGACAACAGGACTGAGACCCAATTTAAGAAAAGAAGGGGCACTCTGATTGGAGATAAAGTTTAATGTCTCAAATTCAGGTAAGTCATTCAATGGCTGAATGTCACCAAATTATTATTATTGCATATCTCCAAATCACGTTATATGTAAATCGCTTTGGACATTTTTAAATTTGCTGAGGCTGGAAGCCAACTCTACTCAACTCCAGAGCTTCAGACTTGCCCCACCTAAAGGAAAGCCTGCCTTAAAGAGAAAATAGTCTCCCACTCCTGGAACCCCCATAAAACACAAGGAAAGGAGCCAGTGAGAAATTCATGGGAGAGGATTCTGCTAGCTTTCAAGTAGTGTTCACACCTTATTAATACTTTTCTGATGTAAGGTTCATACCCTGTGTAATCACTGGTTTGTCATCACATTTTTAGTTTCCTGTAAATCAATCACTAAAGAGAAGAAAGGATTAGTGGATTTCTTAAAAATTGGCCTTGTATCCTGTTTCTCTTCCATTAAGCAGCTCACAATCAGATTTATGAACGAGATTTCATTGTTTAAAACTCTGCAGTGTTGAGATTTTTTCTTGAGCAGGAATGTGTTAAGCCCCTATTTGATTACTGTTCAAAGCCACTAGACTGTGTAAGTAATTAACAAATATTTTCTCCATCCATAGAAACCAGCTCTTACTGTGATCAAATGCTTGATCACTGTCTAGACAGCTGAAAAAGCATCTGAAAAACATAGCTCCCATTAATGAAAATACCTGCTGAAGGCTATTTTTATCGTTTTTGGTTAAACTTCCTGGAATTTAGAGCTGCTTCTCTCTGTGAGAATTAAAAGCAAATTAAATTCCCCTATCTTGCCACTTAATTGAAATCCTAAGGCCAGTTTCCTTTGTATGCCTGCTTGCAAATTAGGGGTGAGCACAGGCCCCCCTGCTCAAGGTCTCAAAAACAGGGTCTCAGTTCTGTTCTCACAATCAACGGAAGAGCAAATATCCTTCGCCTAAAAGAAACAGGGCTTTATTGCAGAGTAAAATAAGGTATTTTATTTATGTTACCCCAAATAAACCTTTCCCATACCCTCAGAGCCCTGATATCCAAAGAGTTAATTGTAAAAGAAAAGTGTTAACCTTTTTTTTTTCCCCAGACAAAACCTCATCCCGACTCATTTTGCCACTCCCTCTTGGCCTCTTGATGAGGAACACAGCCTTGTGACTACTTAATTACCTCTATTTTTCCTGGTGCGGTTAGCAGGACAGAAGCAACCAAGGATCCTGCAGAGGCCCCTGCGAAAGCCTGGACGTTCTTCAGGAGTTCCTTGCCGTGCCTACACAAGGCAGCTGCCGCCCCCAAGTGGTAAATGCCCAGAAACCCACAGGCTGCGAAGGACAGGTTGATGGGCTTCATTCTTGCTGCGGAATTGGCAAAGCTACAAAAAACCAAAAATGCCTTAAATTGCTATCGCTCATCCCACATGCTGTGCAATCTTATAACGATCGCCATTCCAGTTCTTCTTTTAATAAGTAATGCGCTATCTTAAGCGCGGTCATTTCCACTGATTCTAATTGAATCCAGGAAACGTTCAAAGAAATACCGTCTTTTTCCCGCTCACCTTGATCCCTAACATAGCCTCCTTCATTAAACAGTAACATAAGAACATTCCGTAGCTTTTAAACTCATAGACTACGCGATCTAACATTTAATTACTTGGCGAGAAACATGTATACAATCCAGTAGTTACTTTTTTTTTTTCTTGATCTTTTGGGACTTTTTGCAGGAAGTGATTGCTATCGAGCTGAAGAGGAAAAATTACTAGAAATCGCACTGAATCCTAAGGAATAACACATCTCAAAAACAGGTCCCTGCTTCTCTCCCTCATTTTCTTCCAATAGAAGCATGCCCGCAACCAATAATCCCATAAACTATTATTACTCAACAATACAGCGTGTTTCACTGCCCAGTACCTCAAGAGAAATCCAAAATCCTGACTGGTGAAAGCAAAGGCAGGCTTCAAGATTCGCCCTTTCACCATTCTATAGCTGCAACACATCTAAATATAAAAACACTGTACATATTTCCCATCATCTGAGTGGGTGTGGTACACATGAATTAAATCAATGGTGCCAAAAGGCGGCCCACTTTGAAGTCCTGTGGGTTTGTTTGGGGCTCAAGGTCCCTTATGCAGGGAGAGCTCAGGACAATTTAGGCACTGCTGATTGCTAAGGTTCTACGCCAGTCAGCTCCGGGTGCAGCCGGCTACAGGTTACGCAGGAAGGTTTATATTGCATTTCTGCAAGAAGGAGGGGAAAAGGGATTTGGGGAGTTATTTTCCAGGTGGTCAGGCCACTCTGGATAAGCGCGGGGTAGGGTTTCAGCCATCACGGTCGTCTCCACAGCACAGCCCACCATGAGTCGCCCTCCTGCTCATCCTACCCATGCCAGCTCAGACACTTCCGTGTTGATAGGCCCGCCCCCAACCCCCCAACCCTAACCAGAAGGGAGTACAGGGCTGTCACTCAAAATAGATTTACCTATCAGAGCCAGAAGTTGCTCGCTCTGCCCGCCCAAGAAGGTCCGGCTTCCTCTCCTGCCCCACCTTCTTTGTGACGTCATAGAACCATCGCCTTGCTTAGCTCGACCCCGCCTCTTTTATTTAAATACGGCGCTCAACATGGCGGGGCCTACTTGGTCCGTCGGCCGCTGTGTTTTCCAGCGCAGGCCATGGAAAAGTCTGTTTCTTCAAGAGCCGCGCTGTTTGGCTAACCACAGCTGCGTTTTAATCCCTGAACCCCTTTCGGCGTGAAGTGCGTGTCGGCTATCGCCTGAAAACCAGCTGACCTTTAACGACCCTCACCACCTCTGCTCCGGAAGTGCTTGCTGGTGCCAGGTCTGTAACCTGGAAGTGGTTCTCCTCCCTTCCCGCCCTCTTGCCCTTGGGGAAAGTGCTGGTGAAGTTTAGGGCGGAGTCCTGGGGCTACGTTGAGGCGCGGCATTGTTTTGTTTTCTTCCCTAAGCGTTTTTGTTTTTTTTTTTTTTGAAATGCCATGATGCGAAGTTGGGAAATTTACACGTTATCTGTAGTTTTTAGGCGCTGTGACCTTGGGCACGTGTGTAATCTGTTTCCTGGGTAGCTTATCTGCAAAATGGAACAATGCAGTTCTATTTATCGCTAAATTGTAAAACCCAGGCCACCTTGAGGGTCCCCATAGAGAGTTCAGGCTCCCCCAGTGTCACCATTGGGTGTGTGGTCGAGACTTGAAGAATTCTGCAAGCCAGCATCCTTTTCCAGAATTAAAGGAGTCTGACAATTCTTTTTCCAATCTCTCTCTCTCTCTTGTGGAGTTACTTCAATTTTGTAATTGAAAGCCCACCAGGTCCCCTGATTTAGCCACAGAGCTTGCAACTCACGGAAGGTAGCTAGCTGGGGAGGGGGGGTGGGGCGGGGGGAGGGGGGGTGGGTGCGGGACCAGGGGAACAGAGGAGAGAGTGCTCTGAATTGCTTCTCCCCTGGACTTTGTCTTTCTGAGTGTCACCAGTGACCCACAACATCCTCTGTAAGGAAGAGGCCTTGGTATAATTGTTTACAAACAGATTTGTTTTTAATTCATGTAAATAATGTGCCCAGACAGCCGATCCCTAATACACTTTGAATTACTGAGTGTGGTATAGTTAGGTACAGTTCTTTATTTCCATCAAAATTTAGTAAAAGAAAGGCAAAGCAAATATCCAGAACTGTAGAACGACAAACTAGTTCTTTGGCTTTCTACTGTCCTCTGTGTGATTGAGTGTAATGAGAATAATTTCCAGAAAGCTTAAACGATGAATTCTATACCCGAATGAGAAATCTGCCATTTTAACACTAGCCTTGAGTATTGCTGTACTCTTTAAAGCTTGTGAGACACTGGTCTTACTCCTGCAGTATGCTGTACTCTGAATGTTTATATGCCTCTAAAATTCATATGATGAAAATTAACATTCAATGTTATAGTGTTGGGAGGAGGGGCTTTGGGCAGCAGGTAAGAAATGAGGGTGAATCCTTCATGAATGAGATTGGTGCTTTTAGAACAGGGACTCCCAAAAGCTCCCTTTCTGCTATGTAGGCATACAGTTCACCATCTCAGTAGCAACATGCAAACTGGAAGAGACCTCATCTAGGTCTTCCTGCCTCTTAAAATGTGAGAAATGCATTTCTGTTGTTTATAGAACACTGAATCTGTGGTGTCTTGTTACACCTGAATGGGCTAAGAAAGCAGTCTGGTTTAATGAAATGTGGTGGTAACAAAAGTTTGAGTAGAGAATAAAAGCACAGACTTGGAATCTGGGATGGCATTGACTGAGCATTAAGTCCTACATTTGGACCGTGGTCTGCAGGTTGGTTCAGCAAAAATGAAAACTTGATCACAGTGCAACTGGGAGAACACTACAACTTTCAAATTCCTGGCTTCAGGCGTAATGAAGGCATTACTTTTTTTTTTGTTTGTACCAGGATCAAACTCACAACCTCATGCTTGCCAGGCTAGCGCTTATGCCGCTGAGCTAAATTCCCAGCTCCAAGGCATTACTTCTTTTTATACCTACTTGCTGGTATGAGGCCTCTGCCATGTGTAAGTCACATTGGGGCACCCACTGCTTCATAATGTAACTCTAAAAGTGTAGAGCTCGATTCCTCCTTTCTTTAACCCCAAATCATATTTCAACGCAACTAGTTAAAAATTCTGCTCCTGCCTATAAGAATGGATATCATATTCATCCATATTTGTCTTTGTTGTCTCAGGGGCAAGGCTGGAGGCTTGGCGACTAGCATGCAGTCAGTATTTGCTTTGGAACTTGGAAGTTAAGTCAATACCATTGTTGTCTGAGTATATGGTACTGTACCTGCGCCTTAAAAACATTTCTTATGTAATTAACTTGTTGATTTTTGTTTTCTTATTTTACTTATTTAGTCTTGAACTGCTTTATTTGCTTAGCTAATTATAATTATTAAGCATCTGCTATGCTTGTTCAGAGCATGCATGGTTGACAGGAATCGAGCCCTCATCAGGGACACAGAGTCCAGTGAGTTGACAGACATAATGAGTAATGATAGAAGTATTATCATGAGCTATTGTACAGCCCTACCTGGATGTTTTTTGGATGTGCGCACTGAGCTGTACTGTAGCTAACCTTTAGCTGGGAGGCACATAATAGTACCCACCACTTAACTTACACAGAGTGTTGTACCCTAATGGTTGTATTTTCTGGGCTAGGTTCCCTTCCACAAGATTTTATCTTATATAACAATTCCCTCCTTATCTCTGGTTTCTCTTCCACAGTACAGTTGCCTGAGGTCAGTGATGGTGTGCAATGACTGGGAACTTATAATAAGCAGTTCATATATTTCAAATTCCTTGTTTTGCCAAGTAGCATGATGAAATCTCATGACATTCTGCATCCTCCCACTCATGTGTGAAATCACCCTTTTGCCTGGAATATTTATCCCCAATTCCCATCTGTCATTATTTGGAATCCTCTCAGTTATCAGATGGACTGATGGTTTTGCAGTTCTTGTGTTCAGGTATTCCCTGTTTTATTTGATGAATGACACCAAAGATAAAACGTAGAAGGACAGATAACTCTCCTTCTGTGTGGTGATGCTCCAGGACTGCTAGAAGAAAACATAGTGCGGTGGTTCCTTGGTCCCTGAACTTAGTTTGTTGTACAGTGTTTAAAAAGATGGCCACATCTGTGTTTGTGCAGGAAAGATGGCCATGGTTGTGTTTGTCACTCGATATTGTGTTTGCAAACAGAAACAAAATTTTACCTAACACTTTTGTTTGCAAACCTGTTGTTGGCAAACAAAAGCATTCATGAAAGGAGATGCCACTGTGTATATGCAGTTCAGTACTGTCCATGGCCATCCACTGGAATTCTTAGAACCTGTTTCCCATGACAGAGGAGAACTGCTATATTCCTGCAGGCAACTAGAAAGTACATATACCAGGGATGCTTTCCCACACCTCTCCTCCAAGCATAAGACTTTGTGTCAGAATCTTTGAGTCTAAAGCTTTCCTTCTAGTTGGATTTCCATATTGCGAAATTGCATTTTTTGGTTGTTACATCTTAACCTGCATTCATACTTCTGCTGGGCATGCCAGCATGGCCTGTTAGCCCCCATATCCTTCCTCCTACTTGTTAACTCTTTCCCTCTGTCGCTTCCTCCTGAAATCTTGGGTACTGACCCTGGTGAACCAGACAGCTTGGATGTTCCCCTTTAATTTCGAAGGAATGTGGCCACAGTGTTGGAGTACACAGTGCTGGGCTTTCTGTGGCGTACAGAGGTATGAACTCGTATTCCTGTACGCCGTGGTGGTCCTAAGTTAAGCATCATCTTGGCTTGGAATCACCATGGAGAACAGAACTTTTGCAGTCATGGGGAAGAATTCTACTTCTAAAGCTAGAGGGGGAGGGGGGCAGAGAGGGAGAGAGAGAGGAGACAGAGGGAGACCAAGTCCCTTGCCACCATGAGTTGGCCATTAGTGAGAGCTGCCACACAGAGGGAGCCATCCTAAAAAGAATAAGACAACACAGCGGGACTGAGATCTGGGAATGGGGAGGACAGAAAGAAGAACAGGCCCAGGTGTCATGGCGTCCATTGAGTCTGAGGATGCATATATACATTGAGCTGCAAAGCAGACCTGGCCAAGATTTGTTTTTTTCTGAATTTTTTATTGTTGTATTAGAATTCCTTAATTACAGCCCTTGCAATGGATGCTTTAGATGGGGTAGAGCAGTTAAGCTTTCAAAGTTTCATAGTTAAAACCATGGATTTTATATACACAATAGGTTCAGATCCTTGGTGTTGAGAATGGGGGACAGTTACAAAATATATTACAGACCCTTCAATTTTTAAAAATTTTCCAGTTACAGAAAATCTGTGTTCTCTGTCCTATGTAGTTAGTTTGAAGACACTGTACTGTTTTAAGGACTGTTTCTTGTCCACCTTGGGGACAGAAATCAGAGTACTGCTGTCTTTCGGTTTTCTCCCAGTGGAGATGGAAATAATAATACCAATGTCAAATACATAATATTATTGGGTGTTAGACAAATGGACAGGCCTTTAGAGCCTTCTGCCTCATCCAGTGTGCCAAAGTATTCTGTCTTAAACCAGCGTACCCAATCGAATCATTATTTGTATTCTTATTAAAAATATCCTAGCTGCTAAATAAAACATGATTTAATTAATAAAATATTAATTATTTAATCATCAGTTCAGAGAAAACAAAATTGGGAATTTGTCTCTTGGTATCAATGGGAGATCGATTCCAGACCACCTATGAATGTCAAAGTCCAATATAGTAGGTCAGTTGACAGAGTAGAGTCTTAGTATCTGTGTGTCCACGTGCAAGGATCCAACCAACCATGGATCGAAATGAAAAAAAAAAAAAAAA